GATATGCTAGATCTTACATTACGTCCTCTTTCGAGTCCCGTTATCCAGTAATTCATTTTTTTACTCATTTTAAACCACGAATTTTATCAATAAAATAATTCGCATGTGAGTTCAAAATTTTTTGTTACTTTTTAACTACACATTCTCAAAAATCACTCTTACAAAAATTTATTTTATTTTAGCATAAAAATGGAACTCAAACAAGGGTTAAATGTTTCGTCCCTAATATTATTAAATAAATTAATCGATGGCTTCCGTGTTGATTCATAATTAGCACAGGCCATGTAAAGGGTGTTGATCTAAAATTCGTATCTAATCTCTAAATTAGAATATATAATTCGAGTGCCAAAATTTAATGCATTTGATTTTTTTAGTATAACAATTTGTGTTTCTTAAATTATGCACATTGTTCTCATTATTTTTAAAATATATTTTTATGTTATTTTCAATTGTACTTTCAATAAAATAATATTACACGTAAATTTAAATTTTTTTTTTATTTTTTAACCACGTATTTTCCATCAAATCGCTATTTCAAAATGTATTTTTTTGCCAACTACGAGGTTCAAACAAGCTCTATATTTAGTGTCCATTACACAAGTTAAAAGGAAATAATATAGTTGTTCCTAATATATTCCAAATTTTGTTTCCATCGTATATAATATATTTACTAATTCAGGATCAGTATATTCATTGAAAGATGATGCAATATGCTAATGATGTTCTTCAAGAACTTTAGAACTAGCAAAGTAATATATTTCTGTTAATATAAAGCTTCCAATCATAATGTTACAAATCATTGCCTGAATCGTTTGTGTCTAGAATTATAAATTTTAGTAACAAGTGGCTTGTATACTTCACAAGATTTTAGTAACATATAAGTTGAGTTTTACCTATGATCTATATCGGTTATGAATTTTTTGGATTTTATTGAACGTTGAGCACAAAATTCGTCGAAAACTTGTTTTTCACTGGGTGATATTGTAATATATACCACTTCCGATTGAGGTGGGTGATTTCAATTCCTTTGTCATGTCAATTTCGTTTGACAATACTTGCATTCTGCATTGAATTCTTGCTTTTCGTCTTCTAAACAGTACGTGGAAATAAATTTGAAGTGTTCCCAACGTTTCATAATTGGTTTGGGTTTTTGCTTACCTGTTGTATCAACTTCTTCTTCTTCAATATCAATTAAATTACTACTTACATACAAATTTTCGACAGCCAAGTCATCGAGAATTAGGACGTTATTGTAAGTGTTATGCCCTAGGTCCAATCAACTTTGGACATAAACACTTTGAATATATATAATCAATGCATATATATGGCAATATCTATTATTTAATTGAATTAATATTCTAATAAATTAAATAATAGAATCCGTAGATTCAAGTCTTGGTGATTTGTTAATCACAAGGAGTTGTGATTGTGAGATACAAATTACATATGACTGAATCTTAAATCGTCC